ACCGACATTTTATTATGAATAACCAATTTATGCACGCAAATCAAAGTAATTAAGTGAAATTAATAAAGTCTACTTTGAGGCGTTTTACCTACGACAAATACGTTTACGCTGTACTGAAGCGAAATAAATTAAGTTGGATTGAGCGCTGCAATTAAAGTATGGATTGTATAACAAATATTGAAGCGAGTTTCCGCTTTTTATATTTTTATGAAGCAGTTTTATTGTCACAATTAAAAATTGTCTGCTGCTACTCTAATTGGAATATGCAATCATTTGAAAATATTTACTCAATCATTCAATTAAGCGACTAGTCAATTTTTCTGCATTCTGTGTTGTCAAGAAAAATAAATTTCATTTCATAAATAAATTTTTCGTAATACAAATCAATAGAAATGAACTCAGAACAGAGACAATTTGTCTAATGCCACTGCACTATCAGCATTGACCGCCAAAAGGGGCTTTTCGTGGAGCGAAGCAAAGCAAAGTATACGATGCACTGAAATCAATAATCACAATTGACTAATTGACGTTTTATAAGCGAAATCGACCAGCCTTTTCCGTCATCAATTCCAATGCAATTGATGTGGTTTGTGGGCATGAGTTTGTCTTTTTTTATTTATACAATGCTTTAATCTAATTAAGAAATAACGTAATGCTCTCTACTCTGCAATCATTTTTGTAACAGTTTCTTAGGGTTCTGTAAACAAATAGAAATCGAAAATAAATTATTAATTACAATCTATTAAACAACATCAAATTATCAATAGAAATGCGGAAACATATGTGTTCCCATATCAAATAATGATTCTGCGATATTTATGTGGAAATAGAGCCCCTTTGTGTTTAGAGGCTCGTTTAGAATAATAAAAATATTATTTTAGCGATAATTGTGAATTTGAAAATTTTAAAAAATATAAAAATACAATATGAGTAACATGAGACCCACTTCGTATTGCGTTCTACTTTTGTAGACTCAATAAATTGATTAGCAATTAAGTCAAATATGAATTAAAGTTATCATCATCTATAACATAAAAATGGTAGAAAATGGATATTAATAACAAAAAGACACCGACTGAAGTATAGAATAGGCATATAGTAAATTTTTTCTTAAGCGGACACAAACCAAACTGATCCAGCAATTCTGTACGGTTAAGAGTAATGTACCTTTCACATTTAGTAGAAAAAGATATCCATTTATCCATTTAAGAGCATCTATTGAACAAAGGTTTCATTGTATAACTTTAAAGGACCTCTAATTGTACAGAGAAAAAACTTTTTTAATCAATTTAATAGTTCTATTTATATGTGCTTAAGGGAAAGTACATATTTCCTCTATGTTCTATGGTTCTGAAACCTGGCTCGTGACTATTGAAACAAAAACTAAAAATCGAAAAATATTTCCGATTTGGTGGCCCAGAAAGATAATAGACGAAGAGTTAAGGAGGCTCAAGGGCCAAATAAATATTTGATATTTTTAAAAATATTCTGTCATCTTTTCATACAAATTGTCATCTTTTCATACAAGAACACCTAGTATTGAGATATAGTTTGAGATATAATGCATTTTCGATCGTACTATAGTTGTTTTGGAAATTGAGTTGTAACTCATTATAATTTTTGAATAGAATTATGTAGTTGTTAGGGGTAAGTTGAAGTAGTAAATAGTAGCATAAAAAATTACCCCATAATGATATCACAGTTAAACATTGTCGATACAAGTTAAATATTCTTTTAGTTGATTTAGAAATAATTAATGTTGCTTCTTCGGAAGCTAAAGCAGGAGAGACCGAGCGCACTTTTGCAAAGTTGGGAGCTACCGAAGCCAAACGGGACTTTTCCAGACAAACAAGTGGATGTCCCGTTTGGTAGCAACCATGCGTTTGAACAGTATCGCATGATTGCTCCGTTAATGAAACTAAGCACAGGGCCGGATTTGGGGTACGATCATGACGACCTTGATGGTCATCAGATCATGACGACCATCAAAATGGACAAAAAGACTGAAGTGGTTAACGCATTGACAATATTAAAAGATGAAATGACTGTCATTGAGGTAAATGTGAACCAATCGAGAAGTCCACAAACTTGACTATGTCCGTAATTTTTAATGAATGAAAGCTCTGCCACGTCACTAAGAAGGGTAAATCAAACTTGACAAGTCTACAAACTTAACTATGTCCCTCATTGAATAGGATGACAGCTGTGTCAGGTCAGTAGGAAAAGGGACATTGTATATGTAGTAAGTAAGCTTACAATTTTATATAAACATTATTTCTTATGAATGAATGGGTACATTTATTTTCTTGCATTGTTGATTTTAATTTCCGCAGTTTTGCTTGAAATAAATATTTTTTTTGTGGCAATCTTGCTTTCAATTCTATATGTAATTGTTGTTTTTCTATTTAAATGGAGTTACGACAACTATTTCTCATAGAAATGAATTTCGTAAAAATTCGAAATTCTAAATCATTTCATTCTAATGTCTGTCTGTATTTTTAAATGAATGTATAAGCACAGAATAGAATGACACTTGTTGCATCTCAACGCTTTCATTTTCATAGACTTCCTCATTTTGCCAAAAAAATATTATATTCTATTCGGTGGCAAAATCTTTCTCGATGATTCCGTTCTATTATGAAAATAAAATTTAAAACAAAATGATTTAGTATTATTAATAAAAACAAACGTTATCAAATAAGCAATTTCACACTTTGTTGAATATTATGTTTTCATTTGTGAATTGTATGAGATAATTTTTTTAAAAAAATATATTATCTCAAAATTAGTCGTAAAATAAGTACAATCAGAAAATAGATTAACTAAAAACTCATAATTACGTTTTTAAAAATTAACTTTAATATTATTTTATAAAAAATATTTTCTAAAGCTTTATGTTGTCACTTCCTTATTTTTTTATAGTCTATCGGACCACCTATTCATTGCACTTTATAAAATTGTCAAACATTGACACTTGTCAAAATTGACTGCTGTAAAGGTTTTGGTATTCTGTGACATAAATAAAAAGCTCGTTTCCTTGTTAGTTGTCAATACCTCAAATTCTGTTGACAACTATAAAAATATGCTCTTTTTAAGCATTTTTTATTATTTGAATGCATGACAAATATTCTTAACTAAAATATACGCTCCTTACAAGCATTTTTTTTATTGTGATTTGAATGCATGAAAAATGCTTTCGACAATTTAAAATATATGCTCTTTTTTACGAACAGTTACGAACAATTACGAACAGTTACAAACAGTTTTATATACAAAACACTTTACACCATAGTGTGGTGAGAAGCATTAGGTATTTGAGCTTTGAAATTTGTCAAGATCAGAATACCAGAATACCAAAAAGCTTTCTGCTTTATAAAAATCAAAAATTTTATTAAAGAATTTGACAAATCTGTCAAGTGCACAGAATAAGTCCGTATATATTTATAACTAAAGTGAAAAGGGTTTATTTAGTTCCCTGGTATATGAAAGGCGCTCGGAAACTTTTGCACCCAATTATGTTCGACATAGTCTAACAGTAACGGATATACTTTTTCTGACGATGCTCAAAATTGTTTGTTTAGACCCTTTAAAAAGTGTATTCTATCAAGATGTTTAAAATAATCGTAAAATATATGGCGGATATTATTGTATCTCAAGATTATTTTCAGCTTCGAAATCAAAATTTAAACACTATTGATACAAAACACCATTTGTGAGTTTAAGCTGTAATGGAACATATATTTCTACTTGTATAAGACACGGGACTTAATTCGGTACTTACGACAGTCACCTTGTCCAATAGTATTGAAAATAACATTTATAACATATTCTTTAAATTCTTCTTTCGCTTGAGCAAGATTTAACGAAATGGCATCCTAACGACATGACTTCCTAACGAAATGATAACTCAGTAAAGCTACTGTATGTCAATTCAACTTTAAAATCTGTGTTTTGTTTGAATGTGTTAAACGTCGCTTATTTGAAACGTAAAATACTTTTTTAAGAATTTTTTACTCAAACAATCTCAGCGCTGTTTCATCACTCTGAGATAGTATCTGTGGATTTGAGCTAAATAGAATCATAACTAGGATGACCGAGTTTTTTTGAAAGTTTATATTCAAATTTTTTACTAAACCTATAGTACCACATTTATACAATAGCGATCTCCAGGTTGGAACCCGGTTGGAACTCATAGAGTCAATGTTCCACTTAAATATTTGTCAATTATAAAGGTCATTGGAGATTGATACGTGACGGTATCTGAAACAGTCCACAAGTTTATGGAATTTAATAAATTTATTGCACTTTTTTCATTTACTAACTAGTTTTCAGAAGATACATTTAGTATTTGAATAAAATACATTATAATATAGAGCAATAAAGTTCTTAAGCAGATACTGGAAAAAGGATTAGTATCTGAAACTGTGTCCGTTTAAGTCTGTTTAAAAATTAAGTTTGTGTGACATATGAAAACTAAGATTGGCCCCATTGCACGGCTTAGAGAGATGTCCATTTATAAAACCGTCTGTTTAACAGAGTATTCACTGTATAAAGATAATAATTGATAAAAAAAAGGTTGGGGGTTACTTTTTCGAAACAACTATAACTGAGTTTTTTCTTTTTTATAATTGAGTATATCTGATTGTTTGCTGTGACTTGATTTTTTTTAATATTAATTCTCAACGTTATCAATTTCTAAAAGTATAGAATTTATAGTTTAGTATTTTTAACTTCGCAGTTTTAGTTTTAGAGTATTATTACTTATTTATGGTACACTACAAATATTGTTAAAAAAAATTAGAGATAAATAACTATACATACAAAATTGTATATATTTTAATAAAAATCTATAATTGTTATTTTTTTTAATTTATGGATGTATTAATAAAATTGCTTGCAAATATGTGCCGTATAATTTGATTGATGTGTGGTCTCTTTTTTGCTTAGTCGATTTTAATTTGATGAGTTTTTCGATCTCATGAATTTACGTATTTTTGCAGCTTTCAAATTTCAGGAAAATCTTATTCGTACGATGATACAGATTGAGAATACATATTTTGAATTGGGTAATTCAAGCACCCGAAACTGTTTGATTATATGCGATCGTGGTGTTATGGATGCCAGTGCATGTAAGTTTTATTCGATAATAGTTCTATAAAAAATTATCTCTAACTTTTCTTTTTCTTGACCCATTATAGATATTTCCAAAGATAAATGGGAAAAAATGATGTCAACAAATAATTGGAATCCAGTAGAATTACGTGATAATCGCTATAATCAAATTTTGCATTTGGTATCAGCTGCAAATGGTGCTGAAGAATTTTACACAATTGAAGTAAGTATTTAAACTAATTTTAGAATATGGTTGTGTCGCTTGATTAAAAAAATTTTAATGAGAATTCTTTCATGTTAATATCAAAAGATATTAATATGCGAAGTGTGATCAAAAAGTAACGGGAAATTTTTTATTTATTTGAATGCTCATCTTCAAACTAGTCACCCTTTTCTTATTATGTATTTATGTCACCACAGTTTCCAGTTTGAGTAATTCGATTAAAGCTGCTCTTTAAGTATGAATTTAAGCTTGCTCTGCAATTTCGCCTTTATCTCATCTATTGTTGAATAACTTTGTCCATTTGGGTGTCATATCTTATGATATGTTTTGCCAGTAAGTGCAGTATATTTTATTTTTTCCATATTTTTTTATCATTGATGGATTTATTAAAACGTCTAAACAAGAAGACATCTTCAATATTTTGCTTCAGCTACATATATTCTGCTCAAAAAGTATCCGGATTTGGTTGTTTGTTAACTACTCCTTCAGTAATAGAACTTTTTCAAAAAAATTTTTTTTATTATGTTGGTACATCCTTTCTTGACATATGGTACAAATTGAG